TCCACATATGATAAAAGGTGTATATAATTATATCTACAGATGATAAAAAGATGTACAGTATTATATACACAGATGATAAAAAGATACAAGCAGATGTATATTGTTATATACACAGATAATAGTCAAGGATAACTATGGATCATGTAGTGTCAGACGTCCGCAGATATTTCTTGTGTGCATTCAACAATACACAGTTATTTCGATGCCTATTGTAGAACAGGGGTCAATTGGTTACAATTTTCTCCAAATAGTCGCCACAATTGGCTATGCGTTGTCGTTCTGAATGTATCCTATCTATTTCCATGAGAACTACAACAGGGAACAGAATAACATTGTTGGATAGAGCAAGTTTTCAGGTACAAAACATTATTTTCCCCACATATTTAACGCCCTCGTCGCTCCAAAAGTAAAGCCTCCTATTAATTTACACGAAAACCAGACCAGACACGAGGAGCACAGTAACACTGTTGTACATAGCAAAGGTCCATGATTCTGAGCCGTACAACAGTGTAGTCAAAATAGATGCTCTAAAAAACCCGTTCTTTGGTGTTCAATTTGATACTTCTCTGCTTCCATAGGCGGTAGAGAAGCTTCCGAAATGCATTTGTAGCTTTGGTGATCTGATTTGTTATTTCGACATGAAGAAATGCATTTACATTCATCTTATTTCTTAAATATGTAAATGACTTCACATACTTCAAGTTCTTCCCATCAATCTGTATAGGAGTGTCTGGGAATTGATGAACTGGTGGACATTGTCTGACACTCCGAATCTGCTTTGGACAAGGAGGCGGCTCGTGAGATTACCTCCGTTTTTTTAATGTTAATGGTAAGGCCAAAAGCTTTACATGTAACAGAGAAACCGTTGGTGAGTCCATTTGATTTTTTTCTGACACACACATACACACACGTATATATATATATATATATATATATATATAGGAAACTGTATATATATATATATAAAAAGTGAATATTGAAGTCATCACTTACAGGCGGCAGACTGTTTTCATGCTAGACGCAATCGTCAGGCCACTGCGTCTAGCATGAACCAGCCTGTCGCCTCTAAGTGTTGACTTCAATGTTCACTTATTTTTACACACGATCTATCTCTGATATTGAGCACTTTATCCCATAAATATAAGCACTCTTATATATATATATATATATATATATATATATATATATATATATATATATATATATATATATATATATATATATATATATATATATATATATATATATATATATATATATATATATATATATATATATATATATATATATATATATATATATATATATATATATATATATATATATATATATATATATATATATATATATATATATATATATAAAACAAGACCTCGGCGTGGTGTAATGGTTATGAAGCTTGTCTTGCTAGATCAGTTACAACTGAAAAGTGAGTTCGATCCTCACTAGATGCCCCATACTTTCGGCCTTGTGCCACATCAAAGTTACGCTTGGAAAATAACCATATATATATAGAAAAAGAAGTTGAAAATGCAATCGAAGTCTTTAAGGATATTCGTAAGAGTGGGGGGTTATAATACCAGTTTAGTAATACAAGTCTTACTAATTAAGCCATAGAGGGTGAAGAATACGTGAATTTATACCTCTCCCAATGGTATTTGCCCGTAAGTAAACATAACGAACCCAGCGAAAATTGGAACTCTGCTCTCTAATTTCTAATTCCGAAACATTATCCACTACCCCACCCGCTCATCCAAGCTTACTGCACCTGGTATTGCTAAACGGTCACCCATCTAGGCACTGACCAGACTCGACGTTGCTATAGAGACTTGAGATAAAGAATGAAAGACACACAGGATAATACTTTAAAATTGTGATACTTTCAATTTCTGTTTGCAGAGATAAAGGAAAAAATAGATTAACGTGAGGTTTGCATTTGTCATTCGTTTTTCGTACCTAAAGCCATCCATGTCTGCTTTGTATTTATATATATGGATAGAGAATTAATAGTTCTGTTTTTGTAGACATTTTTCTGGCTACGAAAACAGGCTGCAATTGGGTGAGAGAATCGAGTTCTGTTGACGAAAGGCGATATGAATTTCTCACTTGCTAAGAATGGAACTGTGTGTAAAAAAAAAAGATAAAAATTTCTTGCTGAGCTCAGCTATATTAGACTGATTCCATTTCGAAGAAAACTCACTGACACAATATTTTACGATGCCTGAAAAAAAAAAGTTTGCATCTGATGAAGACCTAAAGGACGAAAAGTCACACGAAAATTATTTCCACTTTGGTCACAGATTTTCTTAAAATTGTCCTTGACATATAAAATTGTCCTTGACATATAAAATTGTCCATGACATATAAAAATTGGAGAGTAAAATAATTTCGTTATTTTATTCTAGAACTTAAAGTTTTGCGACATGCGTTTTTCTTTTTTTTTTTTTTTGGTGTGGGGTGATTTATTTATTACACTCATAGTCTTCTTTTTTTACGTACC